AGTGGCCAAATGGCCACTAAGGAAAAAAGTTAACTTGGAGGGTATTGCCACCTTAAGAAACCATATGTACCTTCTACACCCAGGGGTGGTACTCTGTAAATCTTTGGGTGGGGTTGTGCAGCTGAGACACTGAAACCCTTATCCTATGCTAGACCATGATCAGCTTCATTTTGCAGCCCTATTCTAGACTAGCTAGGCACCAAAAACCCCTACCCTATCCTGGACTAGCTATTTTCCATGCAGAAACCTTATCACTGTCATAGCCCAACATACAATAACTAAACCAACATCATACAAAGTCACTTCTGAGTTTCAAATTCAATTGCAGAACCCTGGGTAAAGAACCGTGTTCGTGAGATTACACCTTATTCTAAACTAAATTGTCTGATTTATATACCCTATCCCAGGCTAAACTGCCTAAAATCCATACCCTTCATAGTGGCACATACCTACATAGCCTATATATGGTAGTGCCCCCCATCCCCCACCCACCGGGCATCTACACTGTAAATACCTATAAGCTATACACGTACACGTATCACGAAGTACTCCTTCTCACAGGGGACCACAGGGGGCACACAGTCATTACCATAACATTGTACATAATATCGCACAGAATAGATATCAGTGAAATCATCCAATGTCATTAATGTGCTAACCAGAGAACTATTGACTGGTCAAACAAAAGATCTTTGTTGTTTAACTTGTGAGTCACTTGTTGGCTGTTGTTGGACATTTAAGCTTCCGTGTAAATAACAAAACCAATGTTTGCAAACAAAGTATCTTCCGGGCTACATTGCTATGGTGTATCCTTGTATTCCCTAAACCAGACCATATTTTGCAGGTTGCAATATTTAGAGGTTACAGCTTCCATTAAACTTAAACAATCTACGTAAGCTTAATTAAGCGCAAGCACAATTCAGGTTCAGAACCAATACAACTGGGGAAAGCTCACAAAGTCCCCTACACCTAGAAATTAAGGACATAACTTACAGTTTACTTCCATTACCTTCAATAACGTCAACTATTTATCACCTTGAGATCCTTATGAAACCATTTTCATCGTATTCGAGTGACAAAACGTACCGGAAATTATTGCGGACGAATGAATCGATCGTGCTCCGTCATTGTGATTCTGACCGCGCGAAGTGAAAGTCTGGGACTACTGAATTTACCGCTGGTCAGCATCGCAGCTTCTGAATTTTCAAGATGGAGAGTTTGAGGTGGAGGTAGGAGATGTGGAGAGTTTTAGGTGCAAATGTGTTGGGAAAGCAACCTCCTTCTTGTAATAAGAAATGATAACTCTCGCAAAAAAGATTAAGGAAGAACGGGAGAAGAAAGAAAAGGGAAATAATGCGACCGAAAACCCCAAACCCACAAGAATTTCTGTTCGCGACAAATTACTAACCAAAGGTAAGCTGGCAGTTTGTACGCAATTATTGTACAAAAATATGTTTCGCGTATTAAAATATTGATGTTAGTTCCTAGCTCCTTTTCGAATATTTCATTTAATCTAGCTCTTATTTTTGTCGCTGTCTCACGCCCGCCTTTCGTCCCTTTTTTCCGTTTTAGAAGTGACAGAACTTGAGGAAAATTTGCCGGGTGAGTTAAGAACCAAAAATACTTCATCGTAAATATTGGGTTTAGTTAGGTTAGAGGTTTGTATATCTAGTGGAAAAGTTCTTAATGCCTATTTTCAATAACATGAAAAAGGAATAACCCATATAAACCTTTAAGCTAAGAACATCTGGTGTTTGTGTGTTCGAAAAAAGACTCGTGTTGATCGACATCTTTTCTAACCTGATACGTTTGTGTGGTACTTAAAATTGCGAGTCTTTCGAGCGATACGTTAAATATTTGCAAAGATGTGATGTGATTGGTTGTCACCATTGACATTGGCAAAATTCATCTTGTCTGATTCTTTGGAGTTTCTCACTTTACAACATCATTTAGAAGGTAACAGTATGGACTATATCCAAGATTAAATGTATTTCTCATAAGTTGCTCTAACTTGTGATGTTTTGTGCAGAGCAAATTTGTTAGCCAGTCTTGAGAAATGTTCCAAGCACGCAGCTTGAAGCATGATGGGAGCAGATCAAAATACCCCTGGGACAAATTACCCTAGATAAAATGCTATCTCAAGAGTACACAGGGAGGCGGAGTGGCCTCATGGTTAGTGCACTGGTCTCCGGATTGAGCAGTCTGGGTTTTGAGCCCTGGCAGGGGGACATTGTGTTGTGTACTTGGGTGAGACACTTTACTCCCACAGTGCTTGTGAGGTGCTGTGTAGTGCTGTGAAGTATGTACTGTAAAAACTAAAGGTGTAATGGAATTTCGGTCAAGAATTGCAGTTGTGGATATATGTGTCACAAATACTTGTTCTGGTACTGATTGGTGATTGTATTTGCCTTTACAGAATCATGCAAAGTGGATTTCAAGGATCCAAATATTCTTTATGAATTTACTCTTACCGTAACACCAGGTCAGAAAGTAATACTCTTGGTTTTACAGGGCTCAAAAAAACCTTGAATTCCAGCTTGCCCTTCAGGCCAGCCGTTCTCAAATTTTGCTTGCCCTGGGCAAGTCGTAGTATACTTTTGCTGCAATTTAGTCGGCAGATGACCTGCCTGGGCCCTTGCCCATCGGGCAAGTGAGAATGAAACGTAACTTGCCCAGCAAGAAAATCTACTTGTCCCGGACGATTGGACAGCCCTTTTTTCAAGCCCTAGGTTTACATGTATAAAGTAAAGAAAATAGTTCAGTCTTTGTTTTACTTGAAAAATTATTTCCATTCTGGTAGTTCTAATCTCATTTCAATGTTTTTTGGTATATTATTTATTCAGGCAAATTATTGATAAATAATTCTATGTTGCTTTTTCTTTTCAAGGAGAAGGGTACTGGAAGGAAGGAATTTTTATATTTCATGTTATGATCCCACAGGAATACAATATTAAGGTGGGGTGTCCTTAATAGTCTTATTTCACTGTCAAGTACAATTAAAACTAGTGAGCACTGCAAATGTAGTGCAGTAAGAATCCATTGGAAACTCCCCACCTCCACAAAAATCCCTTATTAATAAGCCTAACACACTTGCAACTAGATGCAAGTTGAAAATTTGTGTCTGCTTGCAACTCTGTTTGGCCAGGCTTTGCATGAACTTGCATTCACTTGGAATGATTTGTGCCCACTTTGGTCACGATCAAATTTGCGTGCAAGTTGATGTAAGTTTTTCACTGTTTGGTCACCCAACCCAAGTCAACACAAGTGACCTGACAAATAAACCATTTAAGAAATAAGAAGTTGCCATTCGTGATAATATTTAAAGGTTAAAATGTGACTAAAGTTGATAGAGAGAGAAATAATACTGGCTTTTTCTTTTATTGGCATAAAGACAAATTCTTTCTTTTTAGTAATAAATATTTTGTCTTCCACAGCCACCTCATGTTTGGTGTGAAACAAAAATTTGGCATCCAAACATCAGTGAGAATGGAGAAGTCTGCTTAAGGTATTTGATAGATGCATACATGGATGATGTCAGACCAGTTTTCAATATGGTGCACCCTTTTCACGTTTTGTCTTATATTTAATCTTGCAGCTTGTTAAGGGAACACACCCTTGATGGCTCTGGTTGGGCACCAACAAGAAAATTAAAGGTAGTGTTGCGACCTTTAATGAATTTATGTAAACTTTAAAAGAACTTGGCATTTACGCCCCTGTGGCGTGTGTGCAAGAACAGACTTTGCTTTTATTCGTTCTAATTCAGGTGCGTTGCCCATTGGTTAATTGAAACAATTTAAATTTAATGATGCAGTGATGCAATATTTTTGTGGCTCAAGTGACTGAATAAAGTGGATTTGGGATTTTTGAGTCAAACTGGAGGTGGATTATTATCTTGGCATTTTTAAGGGGTTATATCAATTGTTAGGAAATTTTTAGGATTGACACGAAAATCATTGGAACATTATATTTTTAAATTAGGTTTGAATTGATTGCAAGGAAACATGGCGTCCTTTAGGATAGAAGGCTACTCTGACACTTTTTTGTCAAACTCATAATCAGTTAGACAGGACAAATGGATAAAAAACTGACATAGTATTTTAATTTGAAGTTGCCCTGAACATAACATTTCTAAGACATCCTTCACCTTAATGATGTTACTTTTGTTTCATAGGATATTGTGTGGGGACTTAACTCTCTATTTACAGTAAGTACAGAACAATGCAAAAAATTGGTTTCATTGAAAAAATTCAGCATACTCCTTTATGCTCTTCAGTTTGAAAAACTTCAAAATAGATTTTTCAGGTTGCCATTTGGGCTAATTGGAACCATTTTGTCCACGACCAAAGGTCCAATCTCATTGGCCTTGCGCCATCCAGCAGCTAAAAAGTACAAAAATGTCATTTGCCTGTCAGGCAAGTTATGGATACACACTTGACATTGTCACCAGTTACTTGGCAAAATTTATGAACCAGGACTTTCTTTGCATGCTGCTCCTCACATGTAAGCTGTTTTGAGCTGGAATCCTATGTCTGCAATGCATACAAAGGGCTACACTTGCATAGCCGTCTGTACGCATTTCATGGCTGTTTATCGATAAGTTTTCTGGTGAATAATAATGGACTGCTGAGTATATTTTATGAACTGCACAAATTCAATCCTGTGGTGTAGTAAATGAGGCCTTATGCGCCACTTGGCACGAAGAAGTTAGGTGAAGGTGAAGGTTTTAGTAAATTTCTTATTTGTGTATTCCTTTTTACTTGCAGGACTTGTTGAATTTTGATGATCCACTGAATGTAGAGGCTTCAGAATTATATTTTAAGAATAAGGTAAGAAATGATGGTTCACACTCTCTAGCGATTACTTTTAAGAGCTTTTCCCTCTCAAGAGTATCGAAGTCCAAAACTGAGAGACAATCTGAGATTTCATTATAAAATATTGAGAAACAAACAGTACCACATAAAAGTACTGCTCAATAGCTTTCATGTGAATGAATGGTCACACATCAGGGTTTCATCCACAGACTTAAAAGTTAGAACTACCTTGTACAGCATAATAAACGGTACCACATGAAAGTACTGCTCAATAGCTTTCATTTGAATGGTCACACACTAGGGTTTCTCCCCAGACGTAAAGTTAGAACTACCTTGCACAGCATAATAAACAGTACCATATGAAAGTACTGCTCAATAGCTATCATTTGAATGATCACACAATCTAGTGCCTTACTACATGTAGTAAACAAACACCAAGGAAAAACTTATTTTACATGATAATCTTTTAACAGGAATCATTTCGAAGGAGAGTTGAAGATTACATCAGACTCTATGCATCACCCAGAAGATAACAAAAACACTGACAGGCCAACTCCTGAGTGATTGTTATCAGCACTGTTGTGAAAACATTACTTAATTCAAATACTTAACATAGCAGTAAAATCATATTTGTTTAGTAAAGTCATGTTTATAGCTTATAGATGAATGATAAAATTGCCCAACAATGCAATGTAACTGTAGGGCATTATTACAGGTATCGCTGTTAAAACTAGCTGAGGCACTTGCAAACAATTTGACTCGCCTCCTAGAATGTTGAAAGTGGGATGGTTTTTGATTGGCGGGGTGGGGGAGAATCAAAGTGTATGCAACAACAGTGGGAGGCACTTGGTGCTGTTTTTCATTTTTTTTTTAATATAAATGCAGAGGGCTAGCTAAGGTTATATAGGCAGAGCCTGTTACATACAAACTCCTCAAGTCGTCTAAATTGTTAGTTTGTTACTGGGAAGTGACAAAGGAGAATGAGACAAGACAGAAATGTTTTGAAAGCCTGTGCAGATGTCATCTTCAGAGGCAAAAGACTAGTTTAGCTGAGAATGTATCATGAAATGAACATTGTTCTATCATTTGGTAGCTTTCAGCTCATCATTGCTAAAGTAGAGACACCTAACCCTAACGATGTAGGCAGCTAGTGTGAGCAGTACGTTTCTTCATATGTAAATAGTATTTTGTAATATTTGATATTAGAATGATTACACTACATAGAGTTAAGTGTAGCAATAATGATAGCTAGAGTATTAATGTCAGGCCTAAGGGGGTTGTAGACCCCTAACCTTCTGAGTCTCCCCAAGGGAGTCCCATGTCTTGTTGTGTTTACTTCACAGAAGGCTGGGGGAACTACTCCCATATGAAAAGGTTGGGGATGCTTGTAATAAAATTTGAATTAAGCCCTGAAGATCAAGCTGGGTGTGGCTCGAGCTTTATTTGATCCCTAAAAGATACCAATTAAAGCGGAATAGGCGAGATTACCAGCCGCTGTTCAGGATGGGACCCCTTGCTAGTAGACCAGACTTGTGAAATCAGCAGAAATCGAGCCTAAAAACAGAAACAAAAGCCTTTAATTATTACTTCTCCGAGTGCACCCCAAAAGATACTTTGGTAGCTAAAAATAGTGGCGTTTCGTAATCAACACCCTGAGTAAGACCAGGATCCTTGATTTATACCCCTAAGGGAGACAACGGGGATCCCCGACCTTTTCATATGGGAGTCTCCCCTCCCCCCGGGTTTACTTCATCCCGTATCAGGGTTCATTGTAGGCTCAGTCTCCAGCCATTGGTATTTTGGTGCGCCCGCGATCCTGAGGGTGCAAAGGATTGTGGGTGCAGCTACACAACCACGGCTGTTGACCGAGTTTTTGCACCTTTTTGATATGCAAATGATCTTAATTGCTAGAAGAGAAATGATTTAGCATGGACACTCGAACCGTGGACAATTGACTGGAATGACTAAAATGAAGGCTCTTTGTATATGTACAAGATTAGCCATTTAACAGTGTAAAGATGCCATATGCTTTTGTTAATTTAAAGAGCCCTCTTTGGATTTATGTACAAAAAAGTGGCAAGTGTTCACTGTTCGAGTGTCTCCACTGTAGTACTAGCACAAAAAAGACGGTTTAGATTTAGTTAATTTTTCTTTGATGTTATCTCAGAATTTGAGAAAAAAAGCGACTTTTGTCGACCAAAAAAATAAGAATGTTTGTTAAGCAGCAGATAATTAGATATTAGTGTTGACAATATTTCCTGGCTTGGAGCAAATAAACTAACTACTTCCATGTTGTGTTCGGATATGGATATTACGTTCACTGCAAACGTATGTCAGTACTTGTGACCTTATTGCCGAAAAGAGACACGACCCTCTCCTCAAATTTAACTATATCCTAAATGATTCGACTTAACCCCCGCCTTCCCCTCCTTTCTAATAAGCCGCGCTCCCCATTGAGTGCCGAATCTTCGAATTCTACTTAGCGGCCCTGGCCCTCAATAGGCGACCCCTTTCAACAACCACCCTGTAGCCAAAGAACATGCGCGCGAAAATTCACGGCAGCTACACTACATTCTTTGTAAGAAAACATTTACAGTTACCTTGGATGCCAGAGATTTATCTTGCGCGGTTTTCGGTGTCGGTCATGTCGGCCGCCGAAGCGAAGCAAGGTATTTCCGTCCGCCGCGCGCGAGAAAAAAACTCTGGTACACAGGGTAACTTACAGTCGAACCTTCACTAACTAACGGCCACCTGTCTACAACGGCCACTTCTTGGTCCCGGCGGACAGTGCGTACATTCACTCATTTTAATCACTTAGCCGCAACCTCAACGGCCACGGAAACACGTCTCGACTGCCGAATCCTCTCGACAACGGCCAGTTAACCAGTGAATATTTTGTGTCTAAAATCAGCTAGAAAAAAAGATTTGTATTGAAAGAGGGGCGGGGGTATACAAAGCTGCGAAAACCAAGTTTTCAGTAAAGAATTTTACACACGGAATCGATAGCGGGAAAGCGTGATTGGGCGTTGAAACAATGACATTAGGAACGGACAGGGGATGGGCTCATGGGACGGACCGCTATTTTTTTGAGGGGGTGGCGGTGGTGATGGGAGGAGTTGTGCAATTCCCCCACCGCACCCCCCCTCCCAAAAAAAATCGGAACAAGTGCTTTCTGCTAACCAGGTTCTGTGTTTGACCTAAAACAAAATCTTGCACAACTGAGCAATTGTCCACGAGAAAACATGCACAACCTAAACGTGAGAAAAAATTTCACGCCTCAGAAAATAACCCAATCCCCCTCCCTAAAAAAAAAAAAATTGTTCCCTCTTACCCCGATGAGACAGCTGCACAGACAATAATTGTCTCTAACTGTCCTTGCAAGGCCCATCCCAAGAAATCTCATTGCTGCTATATGGATGTCGGGTTCTCTCTTGTACCTTTACGAACAAACAGTCGATCAGTTCTGCATCATAATCAAAGTCGATCTTTTGAATAAACAATCTGTTTTGAAATTGTGGTCCGAGCGCCCAGCTCAAGTCACCTAAACTCAGAACACAAATCCCTCGGAGCCAGTAGCCGTAGCAGATATTTTCTGCCCCTGGGAAAAACCACTTCACGGCTCGCGTTATGAATTCCGGTTGTTTTTTTCCCGGTACTGCCCCGGGTACACCGGGATGCCGGTAGAGAGAAGGAAAAAATGATTCATCAACGTAAATTGTATCGTTCAGCCACTTCAGAAGTGCTTTTGCTGTTTCTTCGTGCAGAGCATATTCGCAGAATTCTCTTGTGCCGGCAATATAAGAAGATCCTTTATAGATTTTAATTCCGTAGGGGGCCGGGGTTTTCTTTTTCCCAGTCGCAACCCACTGATAGCTTTCGTGAAAGTTGTGGCCCGGGGCTCGTTGCTTCACTTCAAAGACGGAAGATGTGCGTCCTCGGGTGGCGTTCGTCAATTCACAGCCTTCTGCATTTGTTCTCCCGTTCAAAGCTTGTAATCCTTGCACAATGCCTCGATTCACGTAGAGGGGGAAATCTTGACCGCATAAATTTAACAAATAGCGCCAAGGAACGGTGCTTTCAAGCAACTCCTCGACACAATTCAGTTGAGCTTGAACCGTAGAAACGTGCAGATATATCACTTTGATTCTTTTCTTTGTGACGTACACATTTGGCAAACACCGAACAACTTGTTCCACAGCGTTAACAAATTCAAGAGACGATGAGGCATCTATATGAATGCAGTAAACGTTGTGAGGCATGTAAATAAACTGCAGTTGTTTAACAAACAATCCCGCGCCTTTGTAAAGTTGCAGGACGTAAGCGAGCGGAAAATTCACTTCCGCTTCCGTTGGCTGCGAGTGCAAGAATAGCGCTGAAATTTGGCGGCAACTAAGCTGAGAAAATGTCTTATACACATGGTAATCAGTCACGTGGAGCTTGTTTGGTGCACGCTCGGAACGCCGGACAGAAACTTCTTCTTCGATGCGATGTGTACAATAATCTAAGGATGGAACCTGCGCAAGAACAAAAAACAGTTCAAACAACTGATCAATGAGGTCCGTTCACAATAGTACTACGCCGGAGGAATTTGAAAACGCAGCTTTATTTCTACGGTTAGGACTACCGTCCACACTAATCTATCAAGAAAACGGAGCTTTTCGAAAACGCTTTTCAAACTGGAGGAATTTGAAAACGCCGGCTTTTCGTTTTCGTGTAGACTGAAAACATTTTGGAAACGGAGCTTTTGGAAAACGATGACTTCACTTCCCTGCCCGGGTTTTCCTCAAACACAACTGGTCAGAATCAAAATGACTGGTGACTGTTGCGTTTTCACTGAATTTCTCCAGCGTAGTGTAGGCGGAAAACAACTGGTGCGTTTTCAGAGTGAAGCCTCCGGTCCTGACATTTCTTTCGCTTTCTGTTTTTTTTTTATTTGATAATTAAGAAACAGGAACTAGGTAACAATAAACTTAAACAACAGGATGATTGAAATGAAACTGGTTCCAAACAAAAAAAGTCTTGAAAAATTTAGCGCACAGTTTTCAATATGTGCCATCGATCAATGACGCTTATATGTACCTTTAAGTGCTATCTTACCCAGATCCCCTGAAGCGCAGAACGTCCACAAACGACCTATATGTGGACTAAACTATGTCAGAAATTATTTCAGAACAGCGCATCAATTCAATTCAAAACAAAAAAAAAGATGAGAGCTTTAAATAGTTTAATTTATTTCAGCGCGATCGCAAGTTTGCGTGTCTTGTTTGATTGACGTGCAATTTGAAATTCATAAACGGCACTGCAGGAAATTCTACTCGAAGGAGCTTAGTCACGGTATTTTTAGTTATTTAATTTGGCGACTGCAAAATTACCTTTATATTGAAAGAAAACTGAAAATAGTAGTTTACTAAGATAGAAAAACACCAAAGAGATTATAATAAACTATAAAGGAACAAGGATCGTCAAGGATGGAGCCGCGGAAGATTAACACGGATTACAAACGACAAACATGAAAAATTGATGTAGCTCCTATGTTAATTTGGCGCGTTTAAATAAGTAAAAGTACTTCACGTTGTAACCTCACTACTTACAACCGCGAAGGCCTTGAGAAAGTCTACTGTGGATTGTAAAATTTAACGAATCAAAAACACTATCTGATTCTAGTTGAGTGGGTATATACATGAATTGCATGGTCGAGGGTTCAAACAAACGACTCATATTATATATACGGAAATTGAGCAAAACCCGATCAAGGAAGACAGGGAGAGTGCAAGTAACATCGCTTATTTTTCGCAATGTGAATAAAAGAGTCCCTGAACTATTAACTTCTACAGTGGAACCCTCCTCAAGATCACCTGGTTAATACGGTTACCTCGTTGTCACGGCCACTTTATTTTGTCCTGGCGAAACGCCCAGTGCATTTTCTTATATAAAAAAAACCCGTTAATGCGGCTACCCCGTTAAACGACCTATGGCCACATTCTGAAATCCCAACCTGTGTAATCCTTTATAATTTTACCCCGTTTATACGGCCACTAAAACCAGTTACGGTCATCTTTCCAAAGTTAATATTGTTTGGCAACGCCGTTAGCACGCCCAAATTTTCATGGCCCGTTGGTGACCGTATTAATCAGTGGAGTTCCACTGTAAAAGTTTTAACCAACAATACAGTTACTCACTCTGGTATGAAATGGCGATAAAAATTCTTTGGGCAGTGAGGATCCTTCAATCGTCGTAACAGGCTTAAAACGGGGAAAGAAGGTAACGTAAAACGAGGTTACAGCCAAAAACAGAAGACCTCCAGACAACAACAGCAGTCCTCTTCTATGGAGCCTTCTTCTTAAACCCGGCAATGCTCTTAACATTCTATGCAGAGAAGAATTAAAGTCTGGATAAGTATTAGCCTATGCCATGCGTGAACAACTAACTTTGTATATTCTAGCATTTTCTTGATTTTGTGCCTGCAGTTGTTGGTGTTAATAAATGAATTAAGAATCAATTCCCTCATTTCTAACATAGTGTAAAATACACACCTGAGACTAGGTCCTGTGGATTAAATGGCCAGAATTGATTTCCTGCAAATAAGTTTTGCCACACCGACGGTTAAGTGAAGATAAATTTAAAGTTATCAGACGCAACCGAAATTCTGCTTAAATTAAGTTCTAACCGATTTCTAAAGGCTGGCAGCACTTCAAGTTGCAAATATTTTTACAGCCGTTTTCGAAAAGCAAACAGCAAAGGAAAACATAACTCAGGAAAATGAACGGTGTTAGCTGCTAGTGTTGAAGTTTTATAGTGAGTCATGGAATTAAGTTCAATCAATGTCTTACAGTGTCAAATACGCAAAACTCAGCTAAATGGAAGAAAAAATTATATAAACAAAATTTTCCATGTAATAAATTATACTAATAGTAAATAAAGTTGTCGTCTGGCTCATATCGAATCTTAACGATCCATGATGTAAATATTCTTGCTAATATGATAAAAGGCAGAAATTAAATGGCACGAGGTGAAAATTTTTTATCATGTGGTAAGCTTCGAGGAATTCATGAAAGCAAATGCCACGATGGCTGTAAATGAAAGTAACTGGAGTATTGAAAATAATTGAACTTTAACAAAGGAAATTCTAGATATTCCAGTG